TCAGCAGGAGTTTGGTTCATTTAGCAATTACTGCTGGAGATTTGTTAACCACAAACCGATAAGAAATGAATTCAGATATGGACGTCAAGTACCCGTGAAGACTCCAAAAGCAGAAGTCATTAGCAAGGACATGATGCGTAGAGGTTTCCATTGTGTGGGACCCACTGTAGTTTATTCGTTCATGCAAGTAGCGGGACTCGTTAATGACCACCTATTAACATGCTTCAGGCACAACGAATGCAAAGTGGCAACCAAAAACGAATTTAAAAACGAGGTTAAGGAGAATGGTACAAAATGAAACTTTGGAGTTGACATGAACTCAATAACTGAAGGCCGTTTAACTGAAGGATATGTTCCAAGCCGCGGGGTCGATTGTCATTGTTTCTTATTATTGTATTGTATGCTATAATTTTATTCTTTCCTAATCTGTTTGTATCTCACCCAACCTAACCAGAAAATGATAGGCCTCATCTTGTTATCGGTGTTCCCACGTGAAGGTGCATGTTTCTTTTAATACACTTGGATAATAAGTTGCTGTTCTAATCTGTTTGTGTTCTGTAATAAATTTCCAACTTAATTTTGCCACCCTGTACGATTGACAATGCATTGCTTTCATGTCCCACTATATTTTATGTTCTTCAACATTTTTGGAAGACAATTATGGTAAATTCGTAACCCATTCGATAATAGAAGAGAGGACCGTAGGAATTTCCACTCTCAAGGGATAGGTGTCAAATGTTTGCGTCCTTGCTTTGCCTTCGCTTCATTGCTTCTCTCGGACAATTTCTAGTTTCTCGACACTCACTTCACAGTCCGATTACGGTTTGGAAATGAATTAATTTGAGAAAGTATTTACTCAAAATAAAAAAGTTTGACTGATATATTTTTTTAATATCCAAAATAAATTATATTTAGAAGTTGGGCTTTTTGTTTCTGGCATGCTAAAATAAGACTGTAATCCAGTCCATCAAAAACAAAGCAGGATTCGCATGCATTATTTTGCTAACATAAATTTCTAAACATTTTAATTGTTCTAGTAAGAAACGGTATACATGTAACTGTATTACTATTGGATTTATATACTCGAGATTCTCTTTCCTGCGATAGGTAGGTATCTTTGGATAGACATGAAAGGAGTAGGAGAAAAAAAATTGCAAACACAGTAAATGAAAGGAAATAAAATGACAATTCTTATTCTATTTGTTTAAATATTTAAATCCTTTAAAATAAAAATAAATTTGATATGTTAAAAAGAGTTTTGGTTTTGGACATAATAACTGTAAACATAAAATAAAATGAACATGTCATGTGATCCTTCCCTATTCCAATAACAAGTTTATGGTGGTTACATACGAGCAGAGATGCACCCATTTACTAACTGTAACTTGTGTTTCAAGGTTGAATCGAGGGGTCTCAATCTGAACCAGTTTTGCAAGCAGCCTAAGTAGGTGTCTTGCCACTTCCGAGCGTGAGCTCCAAATCATCCAATCCGACTTCATGAATCCTCTCCCCGACCCAAGGCTTCACCTGCACCCCAATTCTCTCCTCTTGGATAGGAAGGTTGTGCTGCTGATTCACCACAGGTTTGATGAAGTTCAAGGTGGGAGAGATGGGCATCGCAGAAACAGAGGGTGGAAATGCTTGGAAGTTGAGCCACTGGCCAGACTCAACAGTGGAGCTATCAGACTCGTCACACTCGGGAATAGGTGGCGGTGGGTAGAGGTGGCGGTGCGTGGGGCTGGCCGGGGCAGAAGCGGCGAAGAAAGGGTGGTGGTGGCGGTGGTGGTTGAAGGATGATGCCATGGAGGTTTTGACGATGGAGTCCCATGTGGGAATGGGTTTGGGGTTTCTGGAAGTTGGCGAGGAGAGGGGTGGGGTGACAGGGGCGCTGTTTGATATCCTTAAAGGAGGGAGAGATGCGGGGAACGCATGCCGAATGTAGGGGATTAGGTTTGACGCGTTGTTCCCGTCCAAACGAGATGGGCTCGGGAAAGAGGATGAGGAAGGACTCACTTGGTATGAAGGAATTGGACTCGGATTTTGTGACGAGAAAGGCGTGTTTCTGCTGGAGGTACCTGCACCATCACCTGCTAGTGCTAGTGCTAGTGCTGCCCTGCTTCCCTATCAGTCATACATACATACACACTTCATATGCCCGTTTTCTAGTGCCTAAAACCATTTTTGTTTCAATATTTTCATTTTAAAATCAAACAAATCTTAAGAATCTCTATAAATTTTTTTATTATTTAATACAAAAGTTACCTTAAATTACTTTTGGATTCAGAAAACCAAACTCAAATTTCCAAGTGATTCTACATAAACAAGAGTGAATCCAAACACGCACATTACGATCCATCTTTCACACACACAAACAGACACTCCCAAGTAATTAACAAGGCTTAAGACAATTATAGCAAGATTTGAATCCAACAGTGAGTATTAGATGCAAAATATGAAAAACGAGATCTAACTCTGTGAAATGTGAATATGGAAGGAAGGAGAAAAGTACCTTGCGATAGGTGGTGCCGTCTTCTTCGACGGTCCAACCAGCTTCGGCGCAGAGAGCCTTGAGGACCTCGTTGTTGTCGCAGTGTTTGGGCAAATTGTAGTTCCCCTGCGCCCTAAGTCCAGAGTATATCTTGGCTGCTATAGCTCTCCTTCGCCTCTCTCTCCTCCGGTTGTTCTCTCTCTCCCTCCACGACGGCTTCCTCCGATTGGCCGCCGCCGACGTGGCGCCGTCCGAAGTCATTCTCACTTCCGCCAGCACGGCAGCATTATACGCGGAACTGATAAGTGGTAAGTGGTAACCCTCACGAGGAATGCGCTACTTGTTCTAATTGCCAAACAACCTCTTCCATTCTCCCCCTGTCTTTACAACAGATCAAGCAAGCTAGTTCGAGGGTTAATATAACGTGCGGGAGGCCTCACGCAATCTCCTGAGGGCCACACGTCATCAGCACCGTTAAAGGATCAACGGGCGGGATTCACGCGAAAAAGGCAGGGTGGGATTTGCCGTGCGGAGGCTTTGCATAACATGTGCACTGCCTTCTGATCACCTAATTATTAGTGTGGGTGAGGCCCACGTTCCGGCTCAGCTCGACTCGGCTAAAACCGGATAATGCATGCATTACAGCCTCGAATATCGATGCAGGAATATGCCAAAACACTTTTGCCTTTGCCTTTTGTTTGTTTCGACCTTTTTCTTTTTTCAGTTTCTCTTTTCAACTTTAACGGGTCAAACATTTAACACTGAAGCTCCAAACACACACAAACAGAGAACCAGGTCTCACCTTCTATTAGATTTCAGGGTATTGGTGTGGACACCCGACCCGGCTTCCGCGTGAAGGATTTTGGCGCAGGCATGCATATAAACGATGTGATACTTGTCCCCTTAAGTGACCTGAACCCACAAAAGCATTGTCCATTTTTGTTTCTTTCTTTCTTGTTTTACTTGTTTAATTTATTGAGGTTTAATTATTCATTTTCTCCCTTTTAAATGTGATGCATGTATTGTTTAGGTAAGGAAAATTCATTAGAGAAAATAAAATATAAAGTTTTTCCAAAAAAATCAAAACATTTAAAATGTAATATATATATATATATATATATATTAAAATCATATTTATGAATAGGGATGAAAATTAAATAAAGATATATGGTCTAACATCTTTAAAACCAAAATTAACTTGTTTAATAAAAATGTGATGTTTAAATTATAAAAAAAATATTATTTATATGAAAATATCAAGCTTAAACTTATAAAAAAATTTGATAAATTCGTTTGTTTATTTATATAATATAATAAAAAATTAATATATATATATAATTTAAGATATTTTTTGTACAATTTTTTTTCATTATAGGTTTATAGGTTTATGATCTGTGCATTAGTGTACATCAACATACATTATTACATATAAATTATTCCTTTAATAGAAAATGATTTAATTTGTCTCCTATTTTTTTTTAATTTAAAATTTAATAATATTAAATAAATTATATTTTAAAAATTAATTTTATTAGCCTAATTAACATTAATAATTTAAATAAATTTTTAAATTGACTAATAGGTTAGATTTAAACTTTAATTTTGTAAAACAAACTTATCCTATATATTTAAAGCCTGACTTGTTCTACTCTATTCACATTCCTATGTATGAATCACAAGGTTTAAGAAGGTAAATTTCATTACCTTTTGACATTTGATAAACATTAAAATAGATAATTATAAATTAATGAAAAGTTTCATCTTTTGTAAAGGATAGAAATACTCATGTTAACGAGATATGTAATGGAAAAATATTATTGTTATCAAGTCTTGTCGAGCAATAACATTTTTTTCTAAGAGTCATTAATTATGTGTTTTACAAGAATTTTATCTGGACATTTTGTCTAAAAGATATATTTGTCCACCAACTTAAAGTATGTAACGCATAAAGTTGTATCAAAATCTTCCTCTCGATACATTTTTAGAAAGACACATTTGTCCACTAGCGTCTAGTGTGTTACACATAGAGATTGTGTATGAATTTACATCTCAGCAATTTGCCATAAAGATACATTTGTCTACTACTCTCGAGCGTGTGTCACACCTAGAGACATATCAAAATTTCCATCTGACCATTTTGTAGAGAGGGCATAAATATTACTATTTATTGTTTGGTTGTCTTAATTATAAACAACTAATTGATTTATTCTTTGATTCTAATTATAAACAACAATCACTAGTTTTTAAAGTTATTTAGAATTAAATTTCATTTATACCATTCATTTGTTTTTATTTCCTATGCATTTACTTTTAATTATCATTAAACATGAAAATCATTTAAAGTAAAAGGTATATTTAAAATGAAACTTCAATTTATGATAAAATTAATTAAAAATAATTATATCAATTATTTTTTTTATTCAAATGATTTATCATATGTTCCTTACAATTAATTACGTTGAAAGGAGGTAATATTTTTTTACTAAAGTTTCACCTTGAATTTTTAATTATTACAATAAATTATGCTTCTCAATCTTATTTTAATGAATTTATCTAAATAATTTTTATTTAAATTATTGAAAATTTAGGATATTTTAAAGAAATTTAAAGAAGTTTATAAAATGAGATGTCAAGATTTCCAAACAAAAAAAAATAATATTTTAATGAGCCTAATGTTTACGTATGTGCCATTTTACACTATGCTATTACTTCCATGCATGTTTTAATTATCATATTTTGGTATTTTTTTTAATTTGGACTAATAAGATGCGACTACCTAGCCACCTTTGTCGCATCAATTATAGAGGGTAACTTTTTAAATATTACTCTCAACTCCAAGAAGTTTATGTGCAAATATATATTTAATTTATATTATTATTATGTAAAGATAATTTTTTTTACCATGGATTATTAATTTACAAGTAGAGTCATGATTATTTTTCCATAGGTTATTGTCTATTTTTTTCACGAGCCATTTTCAATCTTTTTTCTTTAACAAAGAAACTTGTCTTGAAGAAATCTGAACATGATTTGACAATCATGAATAATAGTATATATGTGCTTGTGTTGGGACTCATTCACTATCCTCATTGATTTAAAAAGGACGAAGGTTTATTATGACGCATAGGTTCATTCATTGTAAAAATCCTAAAAACAAATGAGATCATTTTTTTTTGCTGTCTGCCCATTTTGAACTCCAAGCACCTATTTTTAGGGTTTTACAATCAGTAAAAACATTGACAAATATGTAAATCATAGTGAATCTTTATCTTTTTCAAATTAATGAAGATAGTGAAAGAATTTCAAGATAAGCACACTACTACTCAAGGTCCCTGCATCTTGTTCCGGTTTCTTCAAGAATGAGGATTTTTTCATTAAAGAAAAAGGTTGAAGATAACCTATGAAAAAATAACCCAATAACTTGACTTGTAAGTAAATAACTTGAAGTAAAAAAAAAATTCTTAAATAATATATATTATACATAGATTTCCAAAAGTTGAGAGTAATATTTAAAAAACTTAACCTCTTTAACTAATGTGACAAAGATAAATAAGTGGTCACATCTTACTACTCCAATTCACGAGAAACACCAAAAACATGTTAATCAAAACATGCATGAAAATAATAATATAAAATGTAATCTTCATTAAACATAAAACATAATTTTAAAATAATTCGATAATTATTCTAAACCATATATTTCGTTCATATATATATATATATATGTTTATTGTGATTTTATTGTATTAAAATTTAAAAATAGACATTTTTTATTTATTTTATGTACTCTGAAAGAGAAAATACTTAATCAAAATGAAGTATAAGTTTATACAATGATACTTATAAAACTGAAACTTAGAATTAGTAATGATCCTTTGCAGCAGTACACAGCAACTGCCTTAAACTAGTTACTACAGTAGGATAGAAGCCAGTATTTGTTCCAGTACTGGAACTAAAAATTCTGAAAGTTTGACATCAAGTGATTCCACAGAAAAACTTAATATATGTGTATAATTATGTTGTCTCAGACGACATTTGTTCTTTCGAAGCACTCCTTTTCATGCTAATACGCTGTTAATTACTACTAGTTTTTTTTCTTTCTTTCCAGCAAGTAGCCGCAGCATGAAAAGAAGTACTTAGAATAAATGCAATTCAGTCACTACAGACAACGAGGGAACAAGATATTTTCCCCATATAAAAATCACTACTATAGTTTGCTTTTGTCACATTTGCTGCTAACTTCTAAGAATAGTCCCTCAGTGCCTTATAGCTGCATCTTAATTCAGTCAATTAAAAGTTTATTTTGTCACATTTGATGCCAATTGTTAAGGATATTCTCGTATAGATGAGTTTTCTGCACACAACTAGTTGATTAAAGCTTCCATGATAGCATTAAAAAACTGAGAGAAATTAAAAATAATAACACAGCGTAGCTCTAAACTGCTTTCAAGGGTTGGTAACCCATGAAAATGCATGAGTATAAAACGGGGAAGACTTGGAATAATGTGAGGAGGAACCTGACAACCCTGAACCTATAAAAAAGTAATAAAAATAAAAAAAATGCATACATACAAGAACACGTGGTGACGCTTACGTATAGTGTGGTATATATTTAAACAGAAAAAGTAGAGTGACATGACAGAAAATATGGAGTCAAATAAAAAAAAATGAAACGACGCCGTTGCCGGGGATCGAACCCGGGTCGTCCGCGTGACAGGCGGAAATACTTACCACTATACTACAACGACCTTGATGACATAGGCATAAAATAGTTGTTAATATCGAATAATTATCATAAATTAGTATACATACCAATACTTTCAACACATAAAATTTTGCTTATTAAAACATTGTAAATCAAACTTTTAAACTAATCTATAATAAATAAAAAATAGATTTGTACTAATATTTAAGACGTGAAATACACAGAAATATTTATTATATATAATATAATTAAAACTTATAATAAATTATATATAAATAAATATCATGGTTAAATATATATATATATATATATATATATATTAATCTTATTATACTATTTTAGTATATATTATAGTAGTGTGTTGTGTTATTTCGCAGTATGCTGGTCACGACGGGTTGTTGCAATAATTTATTTTAAAATATTAATATTTAATTCATAAATAATTATAATAAATAAAAATCGAATTAGATAAGAAGTTAAAAAATTATTTCAAATGTTCTCGTTGAGAAAAAATTCTTAAAAATATTTTCATATAATATAGAGGTTGATATTTAATATAGAGATTGATTTTATTTGTCTCTTATTATTTAAGATCAACTCACATTAAAATAAATGGTTAGCAAACTCACGAATATCTATGTTTTTAGGAGAGAAATTTGTAATTTTATTTCGTAGATGGAGTCATTTTCTGTAAATCAAAAACAAGTAAAGAGGAAATTGATATCCAGTAT